AGAACAACTCCAGCCAATTTTCCTTCAAAAAATCACAAACCACCAATCCAAACAAACATCAGCAACATTTTTCAGATGATTAAAAAAAAAAAAAAGATTAAATAATTATTTGAAAATCCAAACGGGAGCTTTCTCGATCGAATTGCATAATTCACAGCACCTCATCCTGGGGTTCAGGCAACGGAGGGGGCTGAGCCTTCATTTGGCGGTTACCTGGCTGTTGAAACAACTCCTAGTGGCCTCTCCGTGGTTTACAAGAGTGCGAATGTAATAGATAAAATATATTTACAAATTTCCAGAGGATAATGATTCCGAACCCAATCATTCAATCACAAATAAACAAATTTACAAGATTGGAAACAAAATCGATGAAATTGATTCAGCGAGTGCACCGTTTTCGAACCTCAACTTCTTGAATCAGGCATCGCGGCGGTGTCAACCTGAAAATGATGATGGGATTGCTGCAAAATCTTGTAGAAACCGCTTGCATTGCAGACATTCGAGCGTTCAAAGAAGAAACCATGGAGAACGCGAAGAATAAAAGGGAAGTCAAGACTTCGAACTCGCGTTCGCCATCGGTTTCATGGGAATTTGGGAGAGGATTTAGTAGAACAATCCTTTGTTAGTGCAGAGGATTTTGCAGAGTTATCTGTTCGCCGGAATTTGGAGATGGTGGTGGTGGAATGGGAGCGTGGCGTTTCTTTTCTGGGTTTGAATTGCGGCGGTTTGGAGATGGAGATGGCATCGTCGAGGTGATAACAGAGAGAATTGACAGTGTTAAGTTGGAGAAATTTTTAGTTGTGATGGAACACGGATGGTACACCATGTGTTTTTATGTAAGTGATGAAAAATTTTAATTTTTAAATTTTAAGACACATATGCCACTATTTATACGAGGACAAATAGTATACCACCTTGCGTGACGGTTACACTGAAAAATCTTTAGTTAAGTTGGGTTAAGTGAGTGGACAAGTGTTACAGGATTGGAGGGGCACATTCTTTTTTAGCCGAATAAGATTAGAATTACTTTAATGGCATGTTTACATAGTCGTAATGAAAATATGAGGAATTGAATTGAAGATGAATTGAATTGAGAAGGAGTTGGAATGAGGAAAAGTTAGAATCGGATTCCTGTTGAAACTGTTTATTTAAATGTTTTGGATTTAGAATAGAAATGATACTAATTTCATAAAATTGTTTACTAATTCAATAGAATCGAAATATAAACTAATATGATTACTAAAATGTCATTGTCCCAAATCAAATATTTTATCTACTTTTTTTAATAAAATTTGATATAATATGTAATAGTAAGAAAAAAAAAATTAATTGCTTTTTTATTTCATAGGCACACTAAAATGCTTTTGTTTAAATTTTTTTTTTATAAATTTAAGTATTTACTTTAATATTTAAATTTTCTCGCTTAAATTGTAGTTTCTTCTCTTCAGCATCTGCATGGAGTTGTGCATAATGTGAATGAGCATGAAGTTGTACATAATGTGAATGAAGGCATAATAGGAAGAAAAATTGCATTCTTGATTCTCTCACCCGCATAGAATTCAAATACCTCATTTATCCAAGGATTCACACTACTCCAATTTTAGGAATTGCATTTCTTGTTTCGGGTGGGGTCCACCACACTATTGATTCCCTAGTATTTAGTTAAACATCGGAGTAATCTATAATCAGAATTCAATTCCCTTTTTTTATTCCCATTACCCTTACGTAAACAAACCCTAAGAGAGATAGATTTACTTGCGTTGGTCGACTTTATTTTTAGGGTAAATCTCAATTTACCACCTCAAGTTTCGTGGTTTTCAACATTTAGTACATGAAGTTTTTTTCGTCCCAAAATCATACCTAAAATGTTAATTTTGGGACAGTCTCGTACATCCATTAGTCTGGCTGTTAAGTCTTCCGTTAACTGATGATGTGGCGCCCATGTGGACAATGACTGGGTGCCACATGTCATTAAGGGTTCCACGTGGAAATTAAAATTAAAAAAAATAATTATTTAAAGAAAAGTTCAAAAAAAAAACCCTCATCTTCCCCATAATCCTCACCCGTGCCCACCCTCCCACCACCTGATTTGCCTTTCTAGACCAATCCATTTTCGTCCTCAACCCTAAAAATGGGTAAGTCGACGTAGTCCTAGCGGTCAACATCCTCTAGAAGCTTGAAAGGTAGGACCTTATTGTCCACCTCCACCTCCACGTCGAACTCGTACGCCACTGAATGCCCCACCTGCGCGTCCCTCAAATCGAACCCCGACACCTTCAGATTCTTCGCTTGAAACCCTAATCCCTTCACAATCGCCTCCTTCAAATCCTGCAAATCAACCAACCAAATCTTAATCAATCAATCCGAATCCAAAAATTCAAATTGTAGAGAGAGAAAAAGAGAGGGGGCGTACGGAGATGGCTTTAGGGGTGGCATAGGGAGGGCGGAGCTCTAGCACGGAAATCAGAGAAAGAGAGGACGAGACTGTGAAATTCGGGTTGTTGGGGTTCTGCAGGCTAGCGCCGTGGACGAATTCGTAGACGAGGAATGTATGGTCGGTGGAGACGCACGTGCCGAGGAGCTTGATGATGGAGGTATGGTGGCTGTAGCAAAGGGTGGAGCGTTGGTTTTTTAGTTCGGCGGCGGAGAGCTTGACGCGGAACTTGCATTGGAAAATGACGGCGTCTTTTCCAGGGAGTTTGCAACGCTAGGAGGCGGTGAAGGTGGAAGGCTGTTCGAAGGAGGAGGAGGTGGCGGAAGTTGGGTGGGTGGATTGAGCGGATTGTTGGATGCGTGGGGTGCGGCGAGGGGTGAAGACTGGATGGGCGGCGTCGACTAACATTTTGGATTTGCACGTTTGGGTGGAGGCCGAGAAGGGAGGGAGGGTCCGGGTTGAGGAAGAAGACACTTATTTTTTGTTTTTTGTTTTTTTTAAATGTTTAATTTTTAATATCCACGTGGGACCCTTATTGACACGTGGCGCCCGGTCATTGTCCATGTGGGCGCCACATCATTAGTTAACAGAAAATTTAACAGCCAGACTAACAAATGTATGAGACTATCCTAATTAATTAACACTTTCGGTATCACTCTGGGATGAAAAAAAATTTCATGTAGTAAATGTTGAAAACCACAAAATTTAAAGATAGTAAACTGAGATTTTTATTAAAAATTGGTATAAATTATAGTACAAATATGTAACACATTATTCTTTAATAAGACATAAGGCCGTTTAAATATGAGCAGATTATGATATATGATGATTTTTTTTATATAACGATATATATTTAATGAGAAGGGATAATTTAATGAACACAAATATTCAATAAACATTATACTTGCACAAATATTAAAATCAAATTTCATACTTGACCAAATAAGCATAGCAACTCATACATAGAGTTCAAAAATATTAAAATTACAAGCCATTTAATAAATATAACAAGTCTTACATGTAGAGATCCAAAATATTAAAATTACATGCCCTGAATAAATATGACAAGTCTTGCATGGAGAGATACGAATATAAAAACGTAACTAGTAGGAAAAGATGACTGTTGTTCTAATACATTCAAAAGAAGAGGAATGGACCAGGCATTTTGCTGATAACTAGCTCTCTCTCTCTCTCTCTCTCCCATCATTCTACTGATCTGAAAATAACAATGGAAGTGAAAATAATTAAAAATAATTATTAATAAGATACTCAGACAAAAAACAAAAGAAATAAGCAACTTAATAAACATTGGTTTAGTTGTAGTTTGCCTAATTTTTTGTTGCCAATTGTCACATTTGTAATTTTTCAATGTATTTTGTATTTGAGCAACATCAACAACTGGTATATTATATATACGCAAATCATAGTTTAGTAAAATACGGAACACATGTGGTGTATAGGTATTGTTTGAGAGTTTTTTTAAAAAAAATGTATACTCGTAAAATATATGTATTAATAATTTTGAGGCCAGAAATATACTCTAAAAAATATAAACATGAGTTAATTAAAACGATTTTTCCGTAAAGTAACTATAAGAAGAAAGGAAAACTAATGAAAAATGGCTTAAAATTTTTGAGTTTTAATGATAAGGACAAAATAAAGGGTAAAATGAATAGTACCAGAATTGACTTTTTAGTGTAAAAATGTGGTTTTTCGTTAAAGTGAACAGTACCGTGGGCTTTTCGTTAAAACTCCCGAAGAAGAAAGCACCAATCACTTGGGTTTTAAACTAACTATTGAGTTAAAACCTAAAATGTTTAATATGTCCCAACACACATAAATCAAGAAATGGTAATTCTGAGAAGAAAAAAAATTTAAGAAAAAAGCAAAAAAGTATGAAGAGACTTTAAATACCCAAATTTTAATAGTTTTCTGTGATATAGTTCCAAAACAGAACACAGATGTCAGCTATGACATGGGTCGCGTGGTCCCAATTGTGAGATATGACGTGGATCACGCAGATCCAATTGTAAGATAGGACATGGATAGCACGGTCTCCGACATTTCGAAATCTTAGGTTAAGCAACAATAGGACTGCCAGAAGAGGATTGAAGGAATAAAGCATTCGATTATAAAATTGAGGTGCGAGGATGCCATGCAATGCAAGCCAGTAGGTAGCCCACACTAAGCCAAGCCCTACCCAGATAACGAAGCGGTATAGAAGTTGGGCGGAGAGAACAAAAAGTCCAAACCAAACAACAGACAGCGCTGCCGTGGTCACGACAGAGAAAATGTAGAAAGGGGGAAGGCATGGGCAGTTATTCAGCTTGCACTCGCAACTAGCCTGATCGACGGAGGGAGGTATGACAAAGTGGGTCGGATCCACCCCGAGGGGAAACAGAATGGTAGCTAAGGCCAAGAGGATGGTCAAAGTCAGGTGTGTTTGCGGATTTAGAGGTGAACGAGAAAATATGCCCGCGCGTTGCCGCGGGACTTGAATGTATTAGGCGCAATAGGCATGAATAGTTTCTACAAAAAGCAACTAAAAAGACATAGCACCTAAGAATCAATGAACAATTGGGACATCTTACTCATATGTGAGTCTCAATCCCTAGTGAACAAAAGTACTATTTCTTCTTCAAATTGAATCGAAATCATTGATCAAGCAATTAAACATTCCCACTGGCAAATAATTGACCCCCAAGAGTTGAGCAGATATATAGTGACTGGAAAAATACAAAGTGAGCACCAATGATACTGCACCAGTACAAAGAGCATCACTCATCAGCTAATCTAGCTTGAAATGATAGGGAAAGAACCTTGACTAAGATCTTCAATCACTGAGACAACCCAAATGAATAGAGAAAAACACAAATAATAAACACGGGGACAAAGAACCTAAGAAGCAGAAACAAACTTCTATGCACAAAAAATTTGTGCAAGTAAACAAACATCCAGTTGTACTGAGACTTTAATGATCCATGTTTAATAATATAACTTAAACCCAACCATGAATTTACAAAAAATTTAGGTAGAATTATTAACATAACTCAGAAAAAAAAAGACTCAACTTTGCAATTAAATTTCTTACATAACTTAAACCCGACAAATTTAACTAATTAGATTCATCCACAAAATAGATTTTAACATAACCTCAAAGAGTTTCTTCTAACCAAGTAAACCATTACTCAACAAAAAACATGTAGACAAAGCTCTTATCAAAATCATAATATTGTAATGAACAGGAACTTCGCTACACACTTTTCCAAAACGAAGGAAAAATCTACTTTGTAACTTAACTTAATATACGAAACCACCAATTTAGTCACCTAAAATTCATAACCAACAAAGAAAACAACTCCAAATCCTCAGGTTTACACATGTATGAGCCAAAGGTCAAGTTTTTACAAAATAATCATCCCACAATATGAAAAAGCAGATCGAAAAATTTAATTTTTGAACAGAAATAAGCCAAAGGTTCAATTTTTACAGACACGGATCATTTTATACACAATAAGCATACATAAAAACATAAAACTTGACAAATTTTCATTAACTTATCAACCAATACAAAGAACTTAGTGGGTCCTGATGAATGAAAAATAATTCAGAATTGTTTTTACATTTTTATTATATTCTAAGTTTTTCACGGAGCCAAATTAAACCAACATGCTTAAAAGAAAAAATTGATACCTGTAAGGCTGGAGACTGCTTTCAAGGCCTTTTTATTTTCTCTGTCGTTATGTAAATCCAATTTCACTACCACCTTCTGCAGAAAGAAAACAATTTTCAATTAAAAAATTGTTTTGGGAGAGAAATGGAAATTCATTAATACAAATACCAATACCGATTTCTGGGATTTTAGGGTTCTGTTACCCTTGCAACTGAAAGCCTAAAAATCCCAGAAAAATGCCAAGAAGCTTAAGCAGAAAAAATCATATTTTCAAAAACCAAAACCCAACATCGATTTAATCATAAACGAAAGAAGAAATTAAAATCTAAACAAAGTCACAAATTATCGAATTGAAAACCCACAAAAAAAAAACATAAAATAAAAATAAGCAACTGACCTTAAAACAAAGAATAAATACACAGAACAGAGAAGAATACCCAAAATGAGAGAAAATGAAACAAATATATAGAGAGACAACCATCCCCAAAAACCTGACCTAACTGTACTAAGATATATGGCCAATTAATTGTTCAACCGGTAATGGATTGCTGGATATTCTTAGCTGCCCTTGTAGTTCTTGTTTGTCATATTCAAACACAACTCAGGAAAAATAAATATAAACACAAAGAGGGAAGAAGATATAAGACAATTACCTATTTAGTGAGTTCTTGGACCTATTTAAAGAGTCACTGGAATGAAATGAAGCCAACTCTGCAACAGAGAAACAAACTAAAAGTCAAAATCCAGAAATTCAAGTTTAACTCAAATCAAATATAATAACCAATTAAGTGAAACTTTGCTTGCTATATATGGATATGCATGCTATAAGAAACCATTCATTTGTAGATCATATAGCATCATCAGTATTATACTCATTGTTTCATGTAATCAGCCTACTACATGGGGAAAACACAGAAAAAGGAAAGTAGAAAAGTAGAAGACATAATACTTGAGTATTTGGCAGAAATAGTTAGCTTTTGAAAAAAAATTGCTAAACTGTGTTACAAATTCAATCGTTAGAGTTGTTAAAATTCACTTTCATCTGTACAATTCAAACTTCCACACATGTATTCGTACAGTTTACCAATTGTCACACACTGCTAATTGCCAATATAGCAAGATAATGAATTCCGTTAACGAAAAAAAGGATATGCAACTTAACTTACCATGCCAAAGAAGCTCCATAAGAGTTCAAAAATAATACTCACTTAAAACAATGAGTACATTCTAATCCAACAAATACTAAAACAGAATAGTGCCAGCATAACGACTTGGCACGTTAACCTTTAGGACATCTAAATTATCATATAATTTCCAATAGGTCACTATAGATTTTAGGGGCTCATAAACAATTAGCCTAATCTTTTTCTTTCATCTTGGCCTATAAATATTAAAATGCAACCAAATCTTCAACGTCAAAAATGAGAAGATGACTTTGATTTCTTTATAAGAAAAGTCAATAACCTTCCAATTGGCCGATGCTTATCCAATAATCCAAATATATTTGTATTGAATTATGATATGACACCGTAAGTTTCAAGCATTTAAATTAAATTTGTAGTAAAAAGCGTAGGCAAATGAAGAATAATGTTCTCTTCCATATCTCAACCTTATGCTTGCAATGTATCCTTTGCTTCTTTTTTGTCTTCAGCATCTACAGTTCTTTAAGGCAGGTTTTGCAGCGTCTGCATTCACCTATATAAGGTTTAAAATTTTTTAGTCAGAGAGTAAGGAGAAACAAAATAAAATGCTCCAAGGGGTAAACCCCAGCAAGCAATAAGAGTATATTTTCAATGCAAAATGGCAATTAGGAGTCATAAGTACCTTAAAAAAATACTTCTGAAGCGCAAACAGTCCCATATAAGGGTAAGAAAATTAATAGAGCAGAGAACAAAGTACTCACTATAAAACATTTTAGTTCTTTAAGAAAAATAAAGCAGGGTTCAAAAAGGATAATGAAGCATACCAGTAGGTTCCCAATATCAGATAATGATTTCTTTCTTGGCCCAAGATTGTCAATTGATTCTGCCGGCTTCTGAACTAAAGCATTCTGAAGTAGCATTGCACCTTAGGAAGCCACTGAGCTATCCTTCTCCACTTCAGTTGTATCTAAGCAGTTCAAAATGCCATCAGCCGTCTCTGATTGTGACAACTCATTCAACTTAATTTGGTTATCATTTATAGCCTAAATCAAACTACAACTTTATCCCGTGAAATCAAGGAAAGCCACCTGTGTCCAATTTCATGTCAACACCTCAATTTATATCGCATCCAATTAAACTACTACAACAACATACTGACAAAGTGAACATGGAAATTCATATACCATTTGACAATACCAAATCAAGCAATTTCTAAAGACCATAAATAGATCCTACAAAGCAGAAACCCTATCTCATATGCATTAAAGCGATTAACAAACTCTCGGTGAATCATCATAAAATTAACCCAATTTCTCAATTCCAAAAACAGGAAAGATTAAGAAAGGGTTCTGAGTTCTCACCATAACCAAAATAATCATATTGTTTCAGTTTGAACTCGAGTCAATTTCCGTCATCTGCATTAACAAAAACAATAACTTATGTCAGTGCATTCCACCATAAATCAATTCCTAAAATCAACTGCATATCACAAAGTTACCCAAAAGACACAAAATACCTGAAAATTACTATATTAGCACTCCCTCCCCCCCCAAATCAGAAATCTAGAAAATAGAACTTGATAACATTGTACGTAGAAAGCATGGTATCAATAATTTAGCTGGTTTCCCAGGACAATAATGAGCTTGCAGAGATCATATTCATACATGGATGCACAAACACACAGAGACACTACAGAGACCATTTGATGAAAAAAAAAAAAAGAGATGCTCAGAGACTCAACACACACTATTCATAGATCCATGACTTAGAAATTCTCAGATCTAGTTAAAATTAATAAAATAAAATAAAAATTAAGGGATGTGAAATACCTCTTATAGTCTGGGCTCTGTTACCCTGATTCCTTCACCGGCTTGAGGCAAACCTGAGGAGATCGGCGATTAAAGGATAAGAAAACTGGCGGCCATGTTTTAGTTTTGTGATAGAGAGAGTTCAAGAGAAAAAAGAAGGGGATACCCCTTCCCTTCTGAGATCATCTAACACCCATACACTATATTTACACAACTACACTAATCAATACTCATAAGACATCAATGGTCCAACAATTATGGAGCTCGAAATTTCTATGAGGGCCAATCAAATCATAAATTAAAATGAAAACATGTAAGTAATTAAGAATTATTACTTGCTCAGTCAGCTCCTTGTCACTTCAAGGATTATTCAATTCAACCTGATTCGATCAAACTGCATCACTCAACAAAACAAACAAAAAATAAATTAAAAAAGAAAATCAGGGGAGCTAGATAAATATACACTGACTTACTTTTTGGCTAGAAAACCCAAAAAGAGCAATTAAACAGCAGTGTTATTACCTTAAACAGGAGTTAAAATTACTCACCCTTTTTCTTTTTCATCACACCAAGACAAAACTAAAGGAAGACTTCTAATCCTATAAATTAGCAAATACTCTACTATCCTAAATTCCTAATCCCACGTGACTTCGCTGCCCCACGCCTTTGTCCCCTGTCTCCCATTAACTAAAAACACTCCCAAATCACATCAGCCAGCCATACAACAAAGCCACTGGCCACATCAAATATTAGGCACGATTTAGGTAACCAAATTCAACGAATAGAGTTCGGATAACGAAATGCAAAGAACACGATACATAATTGTAAAATTCAAGAACATGATTCAGAGGATTTGAACTATATTGTGTTGAAAACTTACCGAAGAGCAACGATTCCAGGTCGGTAGCGGTCAGGCTTCTTGACTCCTCCAGTTGTGGGTGCTGATTTTATTGAAGCCTCAAAATTAAAACAATTAGCAACTTAGATCCAATAATCTGATTGTTTCTCGGAAAAATAGCTTGCAATTATTGACCCAACACAGATTTTGCAGCATTAATTAAGAGAGAATTATAGTTTTATTTACTTGTGACTAAATCTTTCTTGTTTTGTGGTAATTTGTATAGCAGACAGCCAAACAATATATATAATTATTCAAACAGATTAAGACTCGTAATCAAATCAAATCATTTCTGGTGCAGCTGCTGAACAATGAAGAGCCGAAGCGACTCCTGCTTTTGAGTGACAGAAAACTCTGCAGTGACTCGAACAGAGAAATTGAACTAATAATAACAAAGAGTTGGGATCACGATACTCACCAAGACCAGATCGAAACGAAGCACAGCCTCTCTCCCCCTTGAAATCTGAAATCCCCACCCAAAAAAACCATGCATGGGCCTCCATGACGCAAACGATGGAGTAAGACGACATAGGCGAGGGAAGGCAGACGGCGGTGAGAAGAGGATAGGATGGACGCGAGACCGTCTGTGTCGTTCTCGTCGGGTCTGTGAGACGGAAGAGGCAAGGAGGGTTTGAGAAGGAAACGAAAAAGACCGCCTTTACCATCGTTCTTCCTTCCCACGATCATCAACACGTATGCATCAAGACTCACGGCAGAGAGGGCCAGTGGTAGTCTTGTAAATAAACTGAAATGTCTTACAAAACACTGTTCATTTCTACAGTGCAATTTTGCCAGCTTCTTTAGACTAAAGTAATTTGGAGGAGGGTTTTGATTTTCATCATCCGCCATAGCGGTGGTCAGTTGGGAGCAGAAGGGGAGAAATAAGAAACGAGAGCTGAGTTGAAACAACTCTGCAAAATCGAAACCAACAATTAAGATCAATACCTATGATGATTGTAGAGAGACAAAGTAAAGTCTAGAGAGAGAGGCAGATAGTTTCAACTCAGCAAAATCGAAACCAACAATTAAGATCAATACCCATGATGATTGTAGAGAGACAAAGTAAAGTCTAGAGAGAGGCAGATAAGAAGGTAGTGTGGGAGAGAGTGAGTTATGAGAGAGTATATATAAAGGCGAAGAGCTGCTGAGTGGGATGACTTATAGCCACTATATATACTCTCTTTGACAAAAAGAAAGTCCCTTTGAATAATATCCACTATGAAAAGAACTGTTTTTGAAAAGACCTGCTTCCCAAAGAGCTGCTAAGTGGGATGACTGAATCGCCTCGTAAGTTTGTTTTTTTATGTTGATAGTTGGTCTCAAGTTATGTGCCCACAACGAGATGGCGACACAACAAAGGATAAAAAAGGAGAAAATGTTTTGGCTCGCCTCGTAAGTTTTGTTTTTTTTTATTGTTCTGCCTTTGTCGCTATTATATATTATTCTGATCAAACTCTAGCAAGGATGTCACGTCATCCTTCATCATCTTTTAAATCAATAATTTGGGTGCTACTTCTGTGATAGAAGTCAGGGTGCTGCTTACTTGCTTTTGTAAATTAGGCCCTACTTTGTCATTTTGAATGCCGGTACAGTACCTGGTACAGTACCCTTTTTTAACCGCTTATTCTACTATAAGCATTCAAAGTATGTTATTGGTGCTTGTTTTCTTGTGCCAGCCGGGGGAAAAGCAAACATGTCGCACTTGTAATTATTGGAGGTAATAGAGTAATCAGAGGAGGAAGTGACATTGGGGATGGTTCAGTAGATGATGGCAATACTAAGGGAAGTCATGGAAGCTATACAGGCTAGAGAATCTGAACATGAGGAAGAACCAAAAGCTAGGTCGAGGCGTTCTTCTTGAGAAATGTTTATTTGCCTCTTAGCTTCTACTTTGTTAGGTCAATAAAGTTGCATGATTTTTAACTAGTTCACTAAGATGATTAAGGAAAAGTTGGAGATGCCTTACCTCATTACTAATTTTGCAGTGAAGGTGTTGCAGGAAGCGTTCCAGCTTTCACCACTGTATCGTGAGGCATATGCAAACACGATTAAAGTTCTGCTTGGTGAACCAACTTGTTTGCTGAAATTGAAAAGGATTTTACTGCTTATGGGATTGCTTGGGCCCAAAATAATATTGTTGGGCCGAGTGTAGGTTTATGCTCGGCCCAAAGCCGTTTCAAAAATACTATGGATTGTCTGGTGATCCCGGGCTATTCAGCAGGGATGGTCGAGTCCTATCACAAGAAGGAGTAGTTCAAATAAGCAAAGGGGTCGAGGAAGTCCTAGTGCAATTAGGATTCTCGATCAACAATGAATAAAGCCTCAAAAAGGGGTGAGTTCAAAGTCCTAATGGGAGTAGGGTTGGTCGAAGCAAAGTTGGAACGGAACAAGAAGTCCCAATCCATATATGATTTTAACTCGATTTCAAGAAGAAGTTGGTGCTATAAATACAGGACATGCAACAATTCGGGACCTTCAATTCAATACACAATTGCCCTGCACAAAACCTCTCAAACATCTTGAGATTTTTTTTTTATTTCTTTTTCTCGCCGACACATCTTCAGTTTGGATAAACAGCACTGTGAAGGCAACCGGCGAACACCTTTAGTTTGGATAAACAACATTGCTGCCGTAGAATCAGCCGACCGAAGAGCACATTCAGTTTGGATAAACAGCACTGCGTCGAGGCCGACTGGTTACCTATCCAAGTCTCGGTCGAGAAGGGTTTTCCAATCCTTATTGGCAGATGTCATCTTATTAGCCTTTTTGGCGAAGTAAGGTGTTACGAGTTACTACATTCGGTGTATTGGACGCCGAATGATTTTATGATTAGATACTCATAAGTGAGTTTCAGAGTTCGGCATTCTGATAGCCGAACCACATTCACCATCAAGACATACATCACTTTTGAATACTTTGTCCGTATAGTCTGGTGTCGATTCGACGTGCTTATACTCTTACGAATATAATCACTGTGACCGAATCGGGCGACAACGATTTGTGAACTTTGCAGAACTACCAGCCTTGTCTTCAGGCTCGAGAATCCAAAGGCCGAGATTTGTTCCTTCCTCGGCCGCAGTCGTAAGATAAAGAAGTCAGCAACACGCTCAACGCAACATCAACAAATTTTACTCCTCGGCCGACGAGTTGGCACGCCCCACATTCAACCGAATGACGTAGTTAGCTTAATAGTTACTCGGCTTGCGCGCCACGTAAGCTTTATAATTTTTAGGATCAACAGGGATGAATCGGTATTTGGAGGTGGTAAAGTTATTAGAGGAGGGATGGGCCAGTCATCTGGGAACGGCCAGCTGATTGGATACGGTTATAACTAATGTTGTGATTCATCGGAAATGCTCTATGTAGATGAAAAACATTTCCGGCGGAGACACCAAAGATAGAAATGACAACCACCAAGGCAAAAAGCACGCAGGCTCCCATTCTGCTAAGCATATGAAAAATTAATCAATCTGAAATGTAGTTAAGGGGTCTATGGATGCAGTTACTCAGTGATCATAAAGCTAGTTAATGAATTTAATATCGGGACAAAGATAGATTCCGGTGGTTGTGTGGTTGTTCCTTTTTTAGATATGAGAAGATTCTTAATTCTTCTTCCTCTTAGAGAGGGAAAGAGAGAGAGAGAGAGAGAGCATGAGAAAAGAAAAAGCCCGGGAAAGTTTCTTATTTTAACTTCTCTTGTATTTTGTGGCTTTATGTTTGTGGGTGCACAAAGTGGAAAATTTTCTCCTGCAGCAAGTGCAAGTCCTCAGCCTTGAAGAGCTTAACAAATGGATTGGATTGGAGAGCTACCTTGAAGCCCAAATTTGAGAAGGGTCACTACTTTTGGGGTCCTTTATTTTCCAGAAATGTCAATTGAAGCTCTTAAGCTTCTTTTGTTAACCCTAAACAGAAACAGGCCTCCTCTCTTCTAGTAGTACTTGTGTATTATATATAAAGGGAGAACTCATTCGAATGGGGGCCTGTATGTATGTATTTGCCTCGTGTGCTGCTGTTGTGGTCCTGTACCTACTTTTTGAGCTTTTGTTTTCCTTTTCGGTTTTTAAGGATTGACGACATTTTCCGTATTCCTACTTCACTCCCCTTTCCTTCCAGTTCAAAACTGAAACCTTGCTTCTACCGTAGCTTTTTACTCTTTCGCTGTTCACGTATCATAGCGTTTTACTCTTTCTCTGTTCACGTATGTATGTAAACTACCAAACCGGAGGATCGCATTAGTTAATTAATTCACATTTGATTTGTTAAGTGTGCGGATTATCCTTCATTAGTTTAACCACATGTTACTTTCACAGTGTTTTCCATGTGTACTCACCACCATGCGATTTTCCATCTCTTCGATTAATTTACATGACAAGTTGAAGCAGTTCAGATCTTGATAACATAAGAAAAGAAAAGCCTTGGAAAATGATTTTGTCTTTGTGCTGAATGCGGTCCCAGTTTCCACAACTGCTTCTCTGAGCTTTTGAGCTTCTTTAACTTCTTTTACCCTAATTCAACAGAAACCAAAACATAAAGAGAAAGAGGCATCTTAAAACTCTCTCCCCACTGTGATTTTTCCTTTGGTCTTTTAAGGAGCCTATGAAGATGCTGGGCAAAACTAAGTTGCGGTCATTTCTCGCCGTTTCAACTTTGATGCGTGCAGTAGCATTCTTTGTTAGACTAGGACAAACTTGTATAATAATTTGTGAATGGTTGAAAGTATGAATCTTACATCGGAGAAATAATGGAGTAGTTGTTGGACTATCTGCTTAAAACATCATTAAAACAACATTAACTTGCTTTCCAAATATAACAAAAGTATTACTGACAAGTTAAGAAGATTGAACCTTATATTTAACAAGATGCAAAATTTGTCTCCTCACCTATAATTAATGTATTTTCACTATACGACCATCATAATTCAAAATGTTTATATAATTCAAAACGTTCATTCTCTTTATATCATTATCCAAAGAATAAAACTTTTATTTTTTCATACAGATAGATGACTAAACGATCTTCATATTGAATGATTTTTCTAATATATAATCTTTAGATGATGGTAAAAAGAATGAACGGTTCGAATTATGATTGTACATTGAATATTCTTTATTCATAGGTGCGGGGATAAGTAGTTCCCCACGGTAAAATTACAAAAACTGAATCTGAATTGGCCTCTTTTATTGGACAAACAATCACATGTTCACAACGCAGCTGTAAATCAATCGCAATTGTAAATCACAAAATAGAAATTTATACACTTTTTCTGAGATATAAGTGCATGGAAGGGTGTGGACTGTGGAGGGGGTGAAACGTGTAGTTGAATTGCACGATGGATAGCGACCAAGTTTTCTTAAGCTTGATAAAAACTGGAAATTAGGCTTAAACAATCGAGATAAATGAAAAAGCAAAGAGGGAGAAGGGGAAGCGATGGGAGAAGTTTTCACGTTTTTACGTTTTTCCTTTTCTTCTTTTTGGTAATACTATTTTTCATATTTAAATGGGTTTATTTTTTATCATAAATGGTAATTCTCCCACACCATCATGATGTGACAGTGACACATAAGTATTATTATTATTTTTTTTATCATTACAAATGGTCTTCGAAATTTATTTATACTATATCTAAAATTGAAAATTTAATCAATCTAGTTCTAAGAATAGGTGTTTCAAACTAATGTGCTTCTTCTATCACAATTTTGTAAACGTTATATTATGTGTTGATGTGATATATAATGAGTCTCACAAATCTAATTAACTTAAAAATAAATTAAAATTAAGTTAAAATTTTAATTTCTGTTTTAAATATTCATAAAAAAAATTCTTAAAAACAGAAACAAAATATTATTCACCCAAAGAAGGCAGAAAGAAAGTCGCACCTTTCTGACCAAAAAAGAAAAAGAAAAAGAAAGTCCCACCTCACTCAGCTAAAGTCCCAACTCACTCATCGAAAGTCACAGGACCCAGCTGTGTCCGTGCATCATCCGACTGACAAAGTGACACAAATCTTCGTATCTATTGACCGGTAAGAACCTATTTCGTCACTTTCAGCAGTTCCCACAATTCCGATGCTCAGCTCATTATCCACCTTCTTCAGTTTCGCCGCCAAAAGATAAGAAATTGCTCAAAACAAAATACTCTTTTCTTTGAAAGTTGCAGGCATTGACTTGAGAGTAAGGACTGCAAAAAATGAAGGTGGTTCCACGAGAAGCTGAGGAGCTGAACCTAAACAATGCTGGGTTCTTCGCACAGAAACGTCTTGTGCGCGGGTTGACGCTCAATCACCCTAAAGCTGCAGCTCTCATAGCCACACAGGTGTGTTTTTTGCTCCGAAACTTTATCTTTTGTTCAAATTTACAAAATTTGATCGGATTTCGGTAATGGATTTTGTAAAGGAAACGTTTTTGTTTAATGTGTTTGGGTTTGTAGATTTTGGAGTTCGTTCGAAATGGTGATAAATCTGTGTTGGAATTGATGGTCATTGGGAGACGGCTGCTGGGAACGTAATGGTGTGAACTGTGAAATCTTATCAATTTGCCCTGTTTTTATACATGGGATGTTAATTCTGGATTCTGATTGTTGAATAGCATCTGGGTTGCCTTCGTTTTTGTCCAATCAACCAATTTGTTTTCCTAATTTCGTACCCCGGAATCATGTGTCTAGTTGCTCGAGATTGGTCTGCATATTTCCTTTTCAAACAGGAAACAAATTCTTCCTGGTGTTCAATATCTTTTGGTTCTTTGCATTTGCTTCGAAAAGCCTTAATCATAATCACTGCTGCTGAAAATTCCTCATAACCCTGACATAACATGCTGCCTAAAATCATTTTTTTATGAGTAAGATATAAATGCAGCAGTAAGGGAGGGACGGTTGGAGATATTGGAAGTGCTTACCAAAGGTGCATCTCAGCCGGCATGTGAGGAGGCTCTGTTGGAGGCAAGCTACTTGGCAGGGCTAGGTCCGCAGAGATGCTCATGGGGTCCGACATGATCCCCGCCCTCAGGCGGCTGTGCATGCTCTTGTTTCTGCTTGCTCCAGAGGCTTCGTTGATGTAGTTGACACATTCATCAAGGTAACAGTCTTTTATCATCATACATTAATCAAAATTCCTTTATGGTTTTAAATTTTAGCAAGCGCTTATGCTGAAAGTGCTTTTCTAACCTAGGAGGACTTGTGCTGAGCCTACAATTGCCTTAAAGTATGCTTCAACATAAATAAGTGTGATGTACAATTAAGGTAGCCATCACCGAAATGTGTATGTGTTGTAATTGCTTGAACATTTAACTTTTGTTCCATGACAGTGATGCTATTTCTTGGTGGCAGTGTGGGGTGGATGCCAACGCAACTGACAGGGCGCTGCTTCAATCGTCCAAGCCATTCCTACATACTAATGTTTACTGTAATGTGCTTATTTCCGCCATTGTTAGCCAGCAAATTTCTGTTGCCAGACTGCTCTTGCAGGTGTATCCCTAACTCATGGGCTAGTATGCATACCTTTATAGTTATACACTGCTGGCCCTGGGATGTAAATACAGGAGAAGAGTTTTGGGTGGGTGCAGGACTAGCCATGGCTTACAGCGTGACCTGGTGTGCTGTGGAGTATTTTGAAGCCAGCGGTGCTATCTTGCACAAAGCTCTTGCAACACCACTCTCCTAACATTCCTCACTTTGGGAGGACTCTCATTCACCACGCCATCTTATGTAACAATGAAAGAGCGGTAGAGGTTCTGTTAAATTGCAGTGCAGATGTAGAAGTTCCAATTAAGACAACAAATTCAGAAACTGACTGCCCCGTTCACATGGTGTCACGACTTGGATTAAATAAGATTCTTCAACTATTGATTGGTGCCTGGTGCAATATCAACTATCAACTCTCAGACAGAATCCGGAGAAACTGCACTAATGATCTGTGCCAGATAATAACCCCAGGAATGCCTCAAAAGCCTGGCTTCAGGCGCTGCTGATTTTGGCCTGGTCAATTCTGCTGGTCAGAGTGCAAGCATAATAGCTGAGTCGGCAAGGTGGGCTCTTGGCTTCCAGCACGCAGTTGTAGAGGTGAAATTGCTCAATCAAGTGATGCATCAATATTTTCTCCTCTAATGTTTGTGACTCAAACAAACAATGTTGAGGCTTTGAAGAAACTGATTGAGGGGGCAGACGTTGATTTCAATGAGCAAGATGAAAAGGGATGCTCAGCTGCCATGATAGCTGCAGCTATCAAATTGCTTATCGACGCTGGGGCTGACATAAACCTGCATAATAAACATGGTCAGACGGTAATGGAACTATTCGATACAAATCACAACGGTGAAGAATTTGAAAAGTTGTAGCTTAAGAATGCTGCACCTCAAAAGGTACTTGATAGTCCTGTTGAGTTTTATAGGACTCAACATCAGGCAGTACAACACAACGCCACAGATTTCATTCATACATTGATGGGCAGGGGTTCTGATGTGAATGCTTCTGATGCCGATGGATACACTCTGTTGATGTTAGCAGCAAGAGAAGGCCACGCTACGCTGTGCGAGCTTTTGACTTCTTTAGAGGAAAAATGCGACATTGTGCAGGACACGAGACAGCACTCTTGCTTGCAAGGAAAAGTGGGATTAAAAATTATGCAGAGAATTTGATATTGGAAGAGCTTGCAAGAAGGTGAAGTCAGGTAAAGAAACACATAAAAATGCGGTAGAGGATCTCCACATCAAAAAAATGCTGAAAATGGTGGGGGCTGCTGGGATTTTGCAGTGGGGGAAGTCGAGCAAGAGAAATGTGATTTGTAGGAGGGCAGAAGTCGAGGCTAGTGACTCGTTCAGATGGAACCGCCGGAGGAAATTTGACACTGACGAGCCCGGGCTGTTCCATGCGGTAACTACAAAGCAGAAGGAGCTGCCTTTTGTGTGTGAAGTTGGGATTGAAATGGCTGAGCTGTGGGTGAGAGGGATCAAGCTTTTATCATATTTTAGCGTTATTTTAGAAAAAACCAGGGTTTATTAAAGAGTAAAGATCCAAAAACCAAGGATCTTTACCACATAGGGCTCCACAAAGACAAATCCAAGAACAACATCAGCCAATTTTCCTTAAAAATTTCACAAACCAACAATCCAAACAAACATCAGCAACATTTGTTTGATGATCAAAAACACAAAAACAAAAAGAAAGATTGATTAAACAATTACATGAAAATCTAAACGGGAGCTTTCTCGATCGATCTGCATAATTCACCTGTTGAACCACCTCCGAGTGGCTTCTCCGAGGTTTACAAGAGTGAGAATGTAATAGATAAAATAAATTTACAAATTTGCAGAGGGTAATGATTCCGAACCCAATCATTCAATCACAAATTAAACAAATGTACAAGATTGGGAACAAAATCGATGAAATTGACACAGCGAGAGTACCGTTTTCGAACCTGAACTTCGCGAATCATGCAACGCGGCGGTGACCAACCTGAAAATGATGAAGGGATTGCTGCAAATCCTTGTAGAAATCGCTAGAAGCTGCAGACATTCGAGCGTTCAAAGAAGAAACCATGGAGGACGCGAAGAATAAAAGGGAGGTGAAGGCTTCGAACTCGCGTTCGCGTTCGCCATCGGTTTCATGGGAATTTGGGAGAGGATTTGATAGAACAGTCTTTTTTAGTGCAGAGGATTTTGCAGAGTTATCTGTTCGCCGGAATTTGGAGATGGGGGTGGTGGGATGGGAGCGTGGCTTTTCTTTTCTGGGTTTGAATTGCGGCAGTTCGGAGATGGAGATGGCAGCGTTGAGTCGTCGAGGGTGATAGCAGAGAGACTTTGACTTGACAGTGTTAAGTTGGGTTAAGTGAGTGGACAGGTGTCGCAAGATTGGAGAAGGCACATTCTTTCATAGGTGCATAAGGTATTAAGGTTAGAATTAGTCTCAGATTGTGAGAGAATTTAGATGCGTTGTGGGTTTTATCTTATTAGAAAGGGGTACAAATGTGTAACATATTGTTCTTTAATAAAACACAAGGACGTTTAAGTATGAGCGAATTATGACATATGGTGACTTTTTTTAGACAATGATATTTTATATTTAACGAAAAGGGATTAATCTATAGTAACACAAATATTCAATAAACAAATTAAATACAAAATTGCACGCTTGACCAAATAAATATAGCAGCTCATACATAAAAATAAAAAAAATACTAAAATTACATGCCACCGAAAAAATATAATAAGTCTTACATGATGAGATCCAAATATTAAAGTTATACACCATTGAATAAAGATAACAAATCTTGCATGGAGAGATACAAATATAAAAACGTAGCTAGTAGGAAAAGACGACTATTGTTCTAATACATTCAAAATAAGAGGAATGGACCAGGCATTTTGCGGATAACTAGCTCTCTCTCCATCTTTCTACTGATCTGAAAATAACATTGGAAGAGAAAATAATTAAAAATAATTATTAATATGATACTCATACGAACAACAAAAGAGAGAAGTAACTAAAAAATATTGGTTTAGTCGTAGTTTGTCTAATGTTTTCTTGCCAATTGTAGCATTTGTAACATTTTCATTGTATTTTGTGTTTGAGCAACATCAACCGCTCCTATATTACATATACACAAATCATAGTAAAATATGAAATACGTGTGGTGTACAGGTATTATTTAGGTTTTTTTTTTTTTTTTTTTTTTTTTTTTTTTTGGAATTTTGTATACATGCGTAAAATTTGTATAAATAATTTTGAGGCTAGAAATATACTCTAAAAAAGATGAACATGAATTAAATAAAATGATTTGTCTATAAAATAATTAAATTAACAAGAAAGCATAAATCACTTAGGTTTTAAACTAACCAAATTCTTGTTGGGTCTAAAATAAATTTTGGGTAATTTTAAAATTTTAAATACAGTAAATCCAACGGTTGAGATTGAAAACAATCAAATCTAATGGTAAAAAAAAAAATCCAACTGCTAAAACAATTGAAAAACATATTTGAATCAAAATTCACCCAAAAACTCCATAATACATATTTTGTAGGGTCCATTTAGTGAATTTTTAACTTTTATCGGAATCTAAATATTTGCTAATGTGAAATTTAGTCAGTGAGTTTTATTCGAGTAAAAAATTGAGGTCCGGTTTATTGTGGAGAAAATTAAATTCCATTGGTTAAAGTTATATTTTCAGTAAGAAAAGTATGAGCAGATACATTACCCAAATATTGGTAGTTTCATGTGACATAGTTCCAAAATCCCCAGTTGTCAGCTATGACTTGGATCGCACGCTCCCAGACATTTCGAAATCTTAGGTTAAACAACAATATGACCGCCAGAACAGGATTGAAGGAATAAACCATTGGATTATAAAATTGGGGTGCAAAGATGCCATGCAGAATGATCCAGTAGATAGCCCACACTAAGCCAAGCGCTCCCCAGATAACGAAGCGGTATGGAAGTCGGGCGGAGATGACAAAAAGTCCAAACCAAACAACAGAGAGAGCTGCCGTAACCACGACAGAGAGAATGTAGGAAGGGGGAAGGCATGGGCAGTTATTCAGTTTGCACTCGCAAGTAGCCGTATCGGCAGAAGGAGGTTGGACAAACTGGCTCGGATTCACCCCGAGGGCAATCACAATGGCAGCTAAGCCCAAGAGGATGGTCAGAGTCTCCGTTAGATGTTGCGAATACGGAGGTGGATTTCGAAGAGGGTTTTGATTTTCAACGTCCGCCATAGTGGTGCTCCAACTAGGCAGCTGGGAGAAGAAGCAGAGAATGAGAAATGAGGGATTGAATTGAGTAGCGTGGGGTTGGGTTTTATACTGTAGTGTTGACACCTTCAGGGTAGGTGAGTTAGACAAACTCTTTCATACAACCTGGGTTTGGATAAGCAAATGGCGTTGAGTTTCTAAAGTTCGACATTGACACTGACAGCCTTGGTGGAGTTACTCTTAGGGCGTTCGATGAGGGATCTCATTTTCCTGTTGTTGACACTGACAGCCTTGGGCACCCTTGGGCGTTTGATGAGGGTGAGGGATCTCATATTCCTGTTGTTGACACTGACAGCCTTGACAGCCTTGGGCGTTTGATGAGGGAGAGGGATCTCATATTCCTGTTGTTGACACTGACAGCCTTGACAGACTTGGGCAGCCTTGGGCGTTTGATGAGGGATCTCATATTCCTGTTGTTGAGTTGTTGACACTGACAGCCTTGACAGACTTGGGCAGCCTTGGGCGTTTGATGAGGGATCTCATATTCCTGTTGTTGACACTGACAGCCTTGACAGACTTGGGCAGCCTTGGGCGTTTGATGAGGGATCTCATTTTCCTGTCAGGGCTGCGTTTGAAGTTACTCTTAGGGCGTTCGATGAGGGATCTCTTTTTCCTTTTGTTGACACTTTTTCCTTTTGTTGACACTGATTTTTCTTTTTCCGCCTTAGGGCGTTCGATGAGGGATCTCTTTTTCCTTTTGTTGAAGAACGCCTTAGGGCGTTTGCTGGGGCTCTCTTTTCTTGGCCTTTTTTGGCCTCCTTTTTTTTTTTTTCCGGGTAACAAGGTTGGGGCTCTTTGGTGAGGAACCGGATTTCCTCCGAATTCTTAAAAGTTGAGATCACTAATCAATAAATTCGGATCGTTGAAATTTGATCAAACGGTTATAAACATGAGGTTTTTCTAAAGTTATAATAATTGTAGTCGTTGGATCAAATTTTAACAGTTTAAATTCATTGATTAGTGAACTTAATTTTTTAGGATCAGGAGGGGATCCGGTTCCTTTGGTGAAACTGTTTGCGAAGAAACGAAAAATTCTTTCATACCACTTGGATTTGGATAAGCAAATGGGTTGAGTTACTTAAAGTTGGACACGTGGGTAGAGATGAAATCATTTTTAAGTAAAAATATAGAGAACAATTTAAAAGATAGTTTGAGGTCCGACTTTAGGTGTTTTTTTTAAGTGTTATTTGTCGCTCAAACAAGTTTGATAAAATGTTCTTAGCAAATCACTTCTAAGATACAATAAAATTTGAAATTTTAGATCAACTTCTCTTAGAAATAACTAGAAAAAAATTATATAATTAAGATGGATAAAAAAGAGAATAAACGAAACTGTTTAGGAGTATATGATTTATAAATTTCATCGAACGTGGGATATATATATATATATATATATATATATAAAGAATATAGAACCCATTGAGCATTGTTCTAAGTGTGCGTATAGAAGGTCACATCCTTCAATTGAAAGTGTAAGAAGATCAAATAGGTCTTTCGTGCGCCTTTTCATTTTATCCTAAATGCAAGCTTACTGCATTTTCATATAAATGTGCCTCCCTCACCCTGCGTATGAAAAAAAAAAAAAAAAAATTCTATAAGGCACAATAAGGATGCGTTTGTTGCATCGAATTATCTCATATTGAATTAGTTTCAAGGATTAAGCTGGGTTGGCTTAGAAAAAATTAAAGTAGACTAGTTTAGTGAACGTTTAATGCAGTATCAAACTAAAAAACTTGAAAATGAAAATCGGTAAAAAAACATACCATATTTGAACAATCACAACATCGTGAACTAACCAAACCGCAACCAAATCCTAAACTGTAAAATATTCAGGAGGCGAAATTGCAAGTGAACTCCATAATCCACTTAAAGTCTTGGACACGTGGTGGTGACGAAACCATGCTCAAAATTTAAAATTTGGAAAATAAAATAATTTGTGATTTCAGTTCAAAAATGTCATTCTTACCATCTATTTGTACTATCTCTTTAATAGAAATGAGACTCACATGCGTTGATGGATCTTATCTTGTCCATAGAGATGATATAAATAATGGTAAGTGTAGCATTCCCATCTCCAATACAAAGACTAGAACTTCCTTTGTCACGAAATAATTCACAAACAACCGGAAGCATTTTTCCTCATCACCCTAAATTTTGGTATATGATCACCATATACATAATCATTTGATACATGTCATTTCACTTAACCTTGGTTAATTTTTTTTTTTCAAAATTAAAAAAGTAGCATTTAATGTGAAAGTTAACTAGAATTAAGTGAAATGTCTCGTACCAAATAGTTAAATGTATAGTACGTATACGACTATGGTGGGAGCAAACATACACCCCAAATAACCCCTCAATACCCATACAAACCCAACCCACCCTTATTTAAAAAATATATATTTAACGTCTAATTTCTCGTTTGTAAAGTTTTAGGCGCCAGCCCTGCTTTTGCCGAATGCCGTAATGCGCCAAAAATTTTAGCTTTTAAGTGTCGACAGACGGGGAGGACATTGTGGACTCGAATATCAAAATCTAGGCAAAAGATCTCAAGTGGAAGAATCTGATGGGCTCACATTCTCACTTTTTCTTTTTAACTTACATCCAGATTAATTATGTGAAGGCGAACCGTGATAGATATACGACAACGCTCATTGTTAACATTATAATGTGAATGTATTATATTTACTGGGATATTTGAATTTTCTTTCTCTTGATCTCATATGAAATTATGTTGTGACTTGTTTTAATGGCTTTTGTACAGTAGTAACTGGTAGTGATAAAGAAAATTCAGTAATTGATATCAAAAGTCATGAAGAAAATAATCGAGAAGAAGATTTAGTTATTGATATCGAAAGTGATGACTAATTAATGAAGAAAGTAATTAAAAGCATCTTCAAAGGAAATGTTAAAAATTTCAACAAAATAAAAATGTCAAAAAGTCTACATCAGCAATAACAGTAAAAATAACAACACTAATGTTTTTAACCAAAATGTCAATTTTTATGTGGCATGATGTGGAATTGTAGTAAAGATGATTGTTGTCAAATTTGACAGTAGTTTCA